GTAATGGCCTATTTCTTCATGGAATTGTAGTTTGAATTCTTAGTATATTATTGGATTAAATATTGTGTTCTAACTAAATATTACTGCAAATCTTTATGCACCATATTAGTGAGTAAAAAGAAATTGTTTTAAAAATGTGTATACTAAAGATAGGAATATTTTATTAAACTTTTAACATTATTTATTTTAGTCCTATTCAGTTTTGAATAGTTCATATGAGCTGGCCGTTAAAATGGTTTATTAAGATGTTATAATGATAGGGGCAATTACGGGCCACTTAATAAACATCTCTTTACCATAGGCGCTACACACAGTCCAGAGGCTGTTTCAGCGCAGAGAAATCAGTCACACGCAGTCCTGGATTACGTGGCTGTCTGTGGCTTCCCAATCAGTGAGAGAAGAAAATAGTGAGGTCGTGAAGTGCCCAGGAAACGTCTGAGATTCGCTGGGGGTAGGCTGGTTTAATTAGTCAGGACATAACGTCCAACGGACCAAATGAGCGTCTTTGTGCGGAAATTAAGTCCTCACTACATACATACATACAAGGGCCTACATGTGTGTGTGTCAGTTAAATTATTATTCAAATATTCCCCCATATTTATTGATTTTCCGTATAAAATATGTTAACTATAACTAATAAATTAATAAAAATAATTTATAATTCGTCATTAAATCAATTATAAATAAGCTTGTATAAGTCTTAAACCTAGTTTCATTACACAAGTCAAATCGCATTGGCTTAGTAAACTTAACCCACTAACAGACTAGGATCATCCCTCAAGCAGCGATAAACTCTAGTCGGCCATGCGTAATGTTAAACGACGCCCATTTTTCTATAGATGCAGGAAAATTGCTGTCGTATTTCCGGCTCACATGTCTTCTAAGCTCACTACACACGTACGACTGTCGACATAATTACTTAACGCTGTACATATAGGTGTATAAGGAGAATATATTTGTTTTTGGTCTATTAAAGGGCATTATAAATTTCAGTCGTTCATTATTTATTATATATAATATCTATCTTAATATTTTAACTACTTACGTTTATTACGATTTCTAAGCAAATTGGTTACATGCTAGTGCAGAGTTAAAGAAATTTGATTTGATAGGCGTGAGTTAACTTTAACTTACATTTAATGACGATTTAAATTCACCATACATTGAAACCTGATTAACGTATGTCACTCTCCTATTTCTCCCTCATTCCGCGCCGCCATTGATTTTGATTTTTTTATTTATTTTATTGTTGATTTATTTATTTATTTCGTACCGTATCTAACATAAATATTGTATGAAAAAAACAATTACACTAGAGATATAACCAAAAATGGAATACATAATATTTACAAAAAGGTTTTAACATTAAAATTCCAAAGTTTCTAACTTTAAATCTAACAGAAACATTATCAAATACATTAAACTACGTAATACCTAAGTCGGCTGTGTTGTGATGGTGTGAGTGAGGGGACGTCATGGTGTGTATGTGGGGTGTGCTCATGATTCTTCTTTTAAGAAAGCTTAAACAAGTCAAGGCTTCAATAGTGGTTGTTGTATGGTCCGGGCTGCGCGGGCATTACCAGTCTAGTAGGCAGGAACATGGTTATATTTATTAAACATCATCATCATCAGCCATTCTTTTATTGACAAATGATCAGAAACAGATACAGAAATCAATGACCCAAAACGTTGTAGCGCAACGGATTTTATTTTAATAGTAAGAATGCAATTTTCATATGAATAACGTATAAAATAATCGGAATAAGTACATCCTATTCAACTTATTGACTAATAAGATTTCAAAAAAGTCGTTAGTCTCGCAAACGCTTAAGTGTGACAAGGAGTTATTCGTCGGAAATAATATGGAGCTAAGATCATTTCTCTCACTGTATTGCTGTTCAAGGTAAAACATTTTTTTATTCCTTCACCTTATAATTCTAGTATAATATTGTATTTTTTAATGTCACGGATAAATTAACTGTAACCTACTGTGAATAACGTTAACGCTACTATAATAATCAGACACCATGATATTGTTTATTTTTTGTATCTCAAATTAATTCAAAATATAATTTATTCATGTACGTAAGCACACTTAATATGAACGCCAAAAAATTGCCCTAAATTTCTATATACTGTCCTCAAATCAAGGGCGTAGAACTACCGAGAAGAACTGACAACTCTCCGTCACTCGCCATTACACGGGCAATTAACATTGAAAGAAAAGTCCACTGGTGCACAGCCGTGAAACAAACGCGCGACCTCTGGGTTAAGAGACGTCAATATTAGTTAGTAATGAACGTCACATAAGCCTGAGGGTAAGATTTTGCAATCGAGACTTTGAGGTAAGTGTGACTCCCGTATGTCAAAATACATTTTTGACGTAATATGGTTGTCATGCTTACCGCATAGTATCGTTTCTAAAGCTCACCTCATCTTACCCTTAATTTACACAATTAGAATCCTATACTTTATCGTTATTAACTACACACTACGAAAACCCACTTAACAATTTCTTCATAACAAATTAAAAACATCCAATAAAGTCAATGACTTTGTTCAGCACCATTAATTCCCAACTTCCACAATCTTCGCGCTATTACAGCCAAATAAACAGTTATTTTCCGGTGTCCTTCTCAATAAACATTCGTAAGGAAAACGAGGCTATTAAGTGGCGTAATATATCTTGTAGAACGATGGTTTAATAGTGGTAGAAAAGTAATAAAGGCAATTATAGAACCATAAGTAAAAGTTTGCGGGCGGCAGCCGTCGCGCAACTTGTGCCAATTATAACTAATGTTAAAACCGTGCGGCTCTGATAAAAATGTATTAATGGTTGTTTACTTAATATATAATTAACGCATCGACGGATACCCCATTGTTGCGTTAATTACATAAGTAAATCTGAAAAGTGATATGTTTTTTTTAATATTATGGCCATAGTTTTTTTTTATGGCTCTTAACTTTGATGCCAGTTTCAAGTAAGGATTTTAATTCGTGGTCTTGAAATTGACCGTGTCTCATGTACGTGTAAGATACGGCACAACTCCAAAGGCCAAAATTTAAATTAAATTAAAACTTGCCCCCGAACCCGGAAACCAACCCCCCCCCCCCCCCCAACAGCCTTAAAAGACCGCTAGGCTATGAGGCCCTCCAAAATTTTTTAAGAGTTTGAAACATCAGAAATACAATCAAACGATAGATTAAAAATGACAATTTTCATAGAGAAAAGACATTTTTGACTAATAGATTTTATACGCGATTTAGAATAGAAATGTAAGCTTTCTTAGTCTTTAATTTCTGCTATATCAAACAAAATGGTAACAATTCAACTGTAATTAGTTATTAGATTAAGTTCCTAGACTGGACAGATTTTTAAAAAAATTGTTACGCTATCTGTGAATTTATCAGTTTTTTTCCTAAAAAAAGTAGATATTTAATGTGATTTTTGTAACTGACGGTAATTTTTTGTATTTAACCGTTATTATAGAAGTAAAATTATTTTTCGATCTGATTTCCTTAATTATCCTTAAACTAAGTTTCACCTCAGATGATGAACAAAGGAAGCTAACTACAGACCTATAGATGACAAGAGTACATACCTAAATATATAATAGAGATCCGTAGAGATACAACGCTCCATAATAAGCCTGTGCATATTTGTATTTTCCAGATATTTACACAGAGGGTGGTCGCGGTTTAATTGAATTTTAAATGCGCAAGGATGTAGGTATTTCGTTATAAATAGCTATGGTACTTGAAATACTCATTGGGAATTTTATAATTATTATAGTTCCATTTATATATTGATCCAAGGCCAACACCTGGGTAACTTGAAATTTTGCAGTGATGCACAATACTTTAGTAACAAATAAAGATATTTAGGATATTCTAAATAAAAAAATTTTACGTAGTGAATAGTAATAAATATTTCATTTTGAAAATATTTTTATTCATTTATCTGTTGTCAACAGCTAATAACTTTATCCACAGCAAAGACTAGACAAGCGTACTGTCAATATCACATTTTAGTCTACTACGACCCAACAAAACAAAACTAATGTTTTTTTGATATAATAGAGGTTAGTGAAACGATGGTACTTTCAACCACGCATCTGTTAGAATTGTGACTGTCAAAAAAAAAAAAAAAAATCATTAATTTATAAATAATATTGCGGCATAAATTAATGATTAGCTAATCTAACTGAAAAACTGCATATTGAATTTAATAAAAAATTTGATCCATCGCCGAAAAATCTAAATATTTTAACTGGACTGCAGTTTCTGGATATCACTACTTAACTATTGTATGTTGCTCATGCAACTACAGTAGCCAAATAGAAATGCTCGACGCTCGTAGTAATAGCACTCTAAGTGGAATAAACATAAATATTCTTTATGGATTCTACACCTATCCGTAATATAGTGGGATACATTTTCTTTCCCTAAACGACAAAAAGGTTTTTGTTTATAAAGGAAAAAATAAAATTACATTTACTCTTTATTACGGCTTTTATATTTAAGTCATATTACGAGTAAGCTTGTGTAAAATCCGATCGCTATTGTAGCAAGATAATCCTTGCGATTGGTAGCACGCCAGGAGTCAGGACTCAACTTTACGTTCCAACTGGCATTTAGCCAGTTCAAATAAGTTAAGTGATGTGCTTCTGGATTATGTAACTTTACGCTAATAAACATAGCTTTATTGAAATGTATAATAAACTTCACCAAAACATCAATCAAAAAACAAAAAAATATTGATAACATTTAAATGTTACCGCGCTAAAACGCCAACACTCAATGTCACTGAACCGTCGATACATCTGTCAGATAAAGGTAAACAAGAATCATTTTCGCGGCATTTTAAATGTCACAATTACTTATAATTAGTGTAAACAGTGAAAACTTTTCAATTAAAAGTGGAATGTGAAATAAAGTTAACTTTTACATAATTCGTTTACAAGTTAATTTGTATTTGTTTCGCCAGTAATATATTGAAAATGAGTTCACTACTATCGGCGGAACTTTCGGCAACTTGCAATGCTTTGGGAACTTTCAACAAGAAGACTGGGAAATACATGATAGATGACTTTACTTTAAACACAGTTAAAGATTTAATACGATATATGAGGAGAGATGGCGAGGATCATGAGATTCGGATGCATTTGGGGCAAACTAAAGTTCTACAAACTGATCTATTGCCAATGTTGATTGACCATTGGGAGAATACTGAACTATTCGACGTAACTCTACGGTAAGTTTGTTGTTAGTCAGAAACTTTTAAGTGTTATTTCTGGCCTCTGAAATTGTTAGATCGTGTTGTGTAACCTTTGTTGTAGCATTAAAGTAGTAGAAAATAAGTTTCATATCTATCTTAAAGCTTACATTGATTAAGATTTTTTACACAGTTGAAATTTATTTTGACGAGTCTTTTACATAGATTTATTAGCACTTGTCAGAGTACATACTTCATTGTCATTCTTTTAAATTTATTATGTGATTTCAGCCTGATAGTTAACTTAACAAATCCAGCATTATTGCTATACAGAGAAGAAGTTCCAACAGAGAGGACTGCTCGACATAATTACTTGCAGATTCTATCTCATTTACAGTCATATAAGGAGGAGGCATTCACAAAAGTTGAGACTTGGCAGGTGTTTGCTAAAAAGCTGGCTAAGATTTTGGAGATTGTAAGTTACTTATATAAAATTCTGTGCTGGCACTTATTGTATTTTTGAGCATATAGCAGTTCTACTTAAATTTTAAAATATATTATAACCTTTTTGTTTAAAATTATTGTTTTATATAAAATAACTTAATAATTGAATAAAAAAATTGGTATAGACATCTTAATGGCTGACCTACTAAATTCTAGAAATATAGCTAATTTTTATAAAATTTCTTAACTAATAAATAGTGACTCTTGGTATTCCTAATCTACAGTAAATTAATAATTATATTTATTTAAGGACTGGTCAGAGAGAGATGAAGAAACAGGACTAGTTATAGAGAGGATATTAATTTTAATAAGAAATGTACTGCATGTTCCCGCAGACCTGGATAAGGAAAGGAGACCAGAAAATGATGCTAGCATACATGATCAGGTAATGTGTTGCTGTACAATGCCCTTGTATAATCCAAAATATTTTCCGATGTCAATGCTTTTTATATTATATTCTTTGAAACATAAATAATGTAGTAATATATCGATCTCCAAATATTTAATCCTGCCATGAGTTGAAAAACTAGTCTAATGTTTATAAATGAGTAATATTTAATGCATACACAATGTTTATATTATTGTTGACCTTTTTAAAACAAGTCACTTTCTAGCTGTTTCTAGGCCAAATTGTTCCGGCAAAAGAGATCTCAAGATTCTCTTACTGTCTAAGATGTAGTTAGTATTTCTCTTGGCTGATGTAAAACATTAAATACATAATAATACTTTTTTAAGGTTTTATGGGGGCTAAATCAATCGGGCATCCTAGATATATTACTATATATGTCATCAGAGAACGAGAAACAATATTTCATGCATATCTTAGAAATCATAACTCATCTACTGAGGGAACAAAATCCATCTGGACTGGCAGATGCAGCCTTACAGCGTAGTGTTGATGAGAAATTACGTGATGAACAAGAATTATTGACATTGAGACTGTCAGAGACTAAAGAAAGAGTAAATAAGATCCGCCAATACTCTTCTACTAGGTAGGTGTAGCTTTTCAACATGGTGAATAACATAGATTATATTTACTTACAGACAGAATTTTAGTAATGGTATATTTACCATTACTAAAACTTAGTGTGTACACAATAGTATATTGAATTAGAACTTAATTTTATCATATATCATATATTGGCAACACGACAGGAATAAATCACCTAAAGTGAACTAAACCTTTTGAGTTCATAAACCTAGTGTAGTGAATATAAGTGCAAGTACGGTATCTCGGACACATGAACATAGTGTCAACATTATAGAACACTAAGACTGTTAAACTCCAAAACAACTTTTTCCTTATAGAAAAAAAAAAAACCTTTTAAACCCCAAAAAAAAAAAAAAAAAACCAAAATTTTTTTTTTTCCCCCCCCCCGGCCAGGGGGGGGAAAAAGAAAAAGAAAAAAACCCCCCCCCCTTGTTAATGAACATTATCTTAGTTTAAGCTATTCATTAGTATTGTAGAAAATTAAGTCAACATAATATTACTTATCAACCATAATTATTGTATAGGCTAGATTGTAATTCATATAGTGTCACACTATTTTTTGTGAACTTTATTGTAGGAATAAAAAAAAATCAGAAGCCGTCCAGTCGTTAAGGATTACATGGATACAATATTTTACAAAATATTGAATAATGGATCACCACATATTTAGTACACATACTTGGTCAAAATGCGTCAAACAGTTACCTTTTATTATTAATGTTGAAAAACACAAAAAAATAATTATTAAAACTAATTTATGTTCTATTAACAGGCACTCTAGGTTTGGGGGTACCTATGTGATACAAAACATGAAGTCGATATCGGAGAACGAATTAATCAGCTTAAAGCCGTTAAATAAAATATCCAATTTAGACTTCAATGGTAGCAAGAAGTCAAAATTAGTTAGACCGAAGAATAGAAGGCCCGTCGAAACTGGGGCTATGGAACGGAGGTCGCCATTTGCTGTGAGGTAATTCATTATTTTATTATAATAAGAATTTATTTTAAAATCAATATTTCTATAATTCATAATAAAATCTATATAATATAATTATGATATTAAAGTGTAACTGTGTATGTATGTATATGTTTTTTGCAATATGTATTTTAGAAAACATTTTTTTAAATAAATTTAAAGAATTTTTTAAAGGAAACGCAAATCTATTAAGATATATTTTATCTAAGTTCAGTGAAACTTGAAACGAGTTATTTAAATTTAATTTTTTGATATATTTTTATTTAAATTGTGTGCTGGCGTCTCTTTAATCCTTATTCATAAAACCTAAATCCGTTAAAAACTAAAATACTCTGTCTCTTTCTAACAAATTATATAAAGTCTATGATAAAAGAGAGGTTTTACTTAAATTAAAAATAACTTCGTCGTAGCCTAATACAGTTAATACTAAAACACTAATCTGTTTTCACTAGTAAACACTAAGACAAATTCACCTGAATCTGTCTACATCTGTTTAAAATATTTTCAGACTATTTCTTAAAGAATTCTGTATAGAATTTCTGAATTCTTCATATAACGCGTTGATGCACTATGTGAAAGACGTGTTAGTTAGGGCCAAAGCACAGCAAAACGATGAATCATATTATTTATGGACAATGAAATTTTTCATGGAGTTCAATAGAGGACACAAGTTCAACGTGGGTTTAGTTAGGTAAGCCATATATATAGTTACCACACACGGTTACGCCCTCGTGGATTTTGTCTTGGCAATGGGAATTTCATTAAGTTGACCTTAATGAATATAGGAAACGGGTTTTTCCCTTCCTTGTCTGTTTGTATGTTTTAAAACAATTTTTGACGTACGATACCTTTTGAGTTTGTGATTTTAACTATTATACAGGATCCTATACATTCACCGAGTGATTATTTAACGTCAAACGATTTTGTTAACCATGTAATAAATATTACCATATGGGTTTGCCTAGTCAGATTCATTAATATAACAAAAATTTAAATATTTTTTCGGAGCCTTAATTAATATCTATTTCTTTTAACATGCCCACATTTAAAAACCTCTTTGCATATTCTATGGGCTCCCTTTCTGTTGGTAAAGATTTTCTCTAAATACCCCCCGGGGGGGTTTTAAAAAAATTTTTTTTTTTTTTTTTTATATTTCCCTGGGTTTGGTTTGGGGGGGCCCCCCCTTTTGTTTTTTTTTTTTTTTTTTTTTTTTTTATATAATAAATTTTTTTTTTTTTTTTTTTTTGGGGGGGGGGGGGGGGGGGTTTTTTTTTTTTTTTTTTTTTTTTTTTTTTTTTTTTTTTAAAAAAGACTGCAGATCTAACAGTCTCGAGTTCAAATCCTGGACCGAAAAAAACGCTAAAAAACTTCGATATATTTCTTTATAAATCTGACACGGTCGATTTGCCTTATGGATTGAGAATCGTATTCCAAAATTTTTTTTTATTTATATATTTAATTATTTTTTATTTTTTTAAATCGGCAAATATTGTTAAATTAATTTCAAAATGGGTTTACTCACAAATTCAGCCGCCTATAAACCAACTAGATAGATTATCTATCCATCTGCATTTCATTCAACCATAACCATTTTTAATCGAGCGGTATTAGGTTTAGTGGCTTCAGCGTGCGACTCTCAGCACTGAGGTCGAATGTTCGATCCCCTCGACCCCCTTCGACTTTCTGTCTACGTGCGCATTTAACATTCGCTCGTACGTTTAAAGAAAACATCGTGAGGAAACCGGCTTGCCTTAGACCCGAAAGCCGATGGCGTGTGTCAAGTACGACGCCGTATTAGAATGAACAATGATCATGAAATTGATATATGTATTGATAAACAGAAATCTGAGACACAGACCTAAAAAGGTAGCGCCACTGGTTATTTTGTTATCTTAACAATATTTAAACAATAGTTTCGTGAAATTTATTTTTAGCGAAACAATGTCCGTACCAATGTTTCATTATGTACAACAGCAAATGGAGAAATATCACGATATGATTTGTGTCGAGAAAAAGAAATTCTATCCTTGGGTTAGGAGGTTGCATCTAGCTTTACGATGTTACAAGGAACTCCTGAATACATTACTAGAAATGGACAAAAGTGGCGATGTATCGGTCAAAGATTCCGCTAAAGTGATTAAAAGTAACGTGTTCTATGTGTTGGAATATCGTGAGTTTATATTGACGATTTTTTTGGATTACGACGAGAATAAAATGCCAAGGTTTGTTTTGATATCCTATTGCTTGCTCTGTGGTATTGCGTATTCTGTATTCTTTTATCATAGAGTTGATTTTTCACATATCTCGCTCTATTTTTTGATAGATCAGGGGGTAAACGGGCAGGGAGCTCATCTGATGTTACATTATACCGCAAGCCATGGACACTATCAATGCTCAACGCGAGTTCGTTGCCGGCTTTTTAAGTGATTGCTTTCTTCTCCTATACTCTATTGTTTTTCTGACTAGAAATTCTTGTATGTATCTTTTTTCTTTGTACTGGTTTCTTTTTTTTAGATATTTTTTGTGAATCAGGAACCATTTTAATCAAACGTTGCTTGCATATACTAAAAAAACAAAAAAATATTAAATACGAATTTTAAATTTATTTTGTACTCGATAGAACTTATGAGTAAACAAAGCTTAGCACAAGGTTTTTTTATCTAACCAATTTCAAAAATTATTTCACTATCAGAATGCTACGTTATCGATCAGGATGTTTCCAAAAAAATATAAAAATAAATATCGTGCGATGCCGGGATCAGATACGCAACCAGCTGCCCACTGAAGTATTTCCGAACCAATTCGACTTAGGGTCCTTCGAGAGAAGACTCTTAAACGCACTCGCGAGCCATCCGGTATTGATTGTTTATGCGCCTCGGTATCACTAACATCAAATGACCCTCCTGCACCCCGTGGTATAAAAAAATGCTTAGGACATAATTATAAAAGTATGAGCTAGTTGAGATGGTGATTTTTAATGTCCATTTCTTGCCAGTTTTAACTTCGTTTTATAAATTTAAGGTCATATTTATTGGACTTAGTAGAGACAGTGCATTTATTCTTGAAAATGCTGGAACATTATTGTAAAAAGACTGGATTGGTGGTTCAAAAGAAAGTTCGTAAGAAGACGAAAGCAAAAAGTAAGTATAAACATTTAATTATTTAAAACAAATTGAGTCCTATATAGCAACACATTGACATATTTTATTCCGGTTTTGTACTGATTTACGTTTAAATAAATAGGGACAATTAGTACCCGAGAAATACATAAATATTTTTTAATAAATGGAACGATTTATTACGATAACAATTTTTATATTACCTTTATGTAAATCATGAATTATTTTAAGCTATGTGTGGGTGATATGTGTAAAAACTAAATAATTACTGTTGACGTATGTTTGTATTTTAGAAACAATATTTAGAGTTATTTTAATAGAAAATAATTACTTTTATCCTATTTCTTTTATAATCTAAAATGTTCTAACAAAAAAAATCATCGTATTAATATTTAAATGACAGGCCAAAACTAGCGATTATGTGTTGTGTTAACAAACACAACTTAACACATAATATATAATCAATAATAATCTAAAGAATCTAATCTAAGAAATATATTTATTCATTACATCCCCCACCCCCAAATAAATTTAAAGTACCATTACATAATACTAATAATTATCTCTATCCTCTACTATTGGTGCTGGGATCAGTTATTTAAAAAATAACTACTTCAACTATGGCAATTCGTATTATATTTTATTACACATTTAATGGAATAAAAATAATGAATGTAGACAATAGAGTAAGCCAAGTGTAAAGAAACACTCGACTCGTCAAAAGGAACGTGTGCGCTCACGTAGATATTATTGCTTACGGCTTAGAGCACGGCTTTTTATAATTCCTATACAAACGGATGGACTGAATTTGATAATTTTTTTTAATGTTATACAAAGACTAAATACCGTTTCAATACTTAGTTTTTTCAAAGATAATTTTATATAGAAGCGAAGGAGTCTTTTTTCGAAATTATGATCTTCCGTAAGTTAAGTTCTAAAAATCTTCCCCTTTTAGGAAAGGGGAGTCAAATATTTTCGCGAAAAGAGTGGTAATTATGACGTTCTAGACATTCGTCAAATTACCGTCGTAATGTGCGGTTGCTGTGTCGTTCGTAATTATGTTTAAACAGTGAAACATTCGTAAAACGCTTTTGCTCTTCTATCTAATTAGGTAAATTACTGTAATGTACATTTAGTTATTATTAAACAATTTCACTAAGTACATTCTTCTTTTCTTCTCTTCTTCTTTTTTTTCCTAAAAAAAATTTAAGATTTTGCGTTTACGACTTTGATCCCTGGGAAAAGCGATATATTACACGTAGTAACGAACGACTGTTGTTTACGCTTTAAGATATTTTTTTATTTCTCATTAAAAACATTATAACATTCACATACATGATACAATATACTAATACAATAATACATTACGCCTATTAACTAATTGTATATTACAATACCACGATACAGTAAGGGAGCAATATTTTTTAACAGTTACCCAAGACAAAAATAATGAATAATAAATGAAATTAATACAAATAACACACAAATCTATACTTTATTGTCAGTCATAATGTAAACGCGTCTAGACTATTAATTCCCCCGTGTTTCCCCTTTAGAGCAAAAACCCCGGCAAAAGCCGCAAGCCACAAAGCCCATACCTCAATGGGAGGCAGTGCGGGAACAAATGGCTGTGGTCCTCACTTCACAGCTTGACACCTATCCGCCGCCATTCGATGCCGCATCAGACACACCTATTGATCAACAAAAGTATGTTTATATATAAAAACTTCATACAATACAGATTATATGAAATCAGTGGTGCTTTTAAGGGCTGGGCCTCAGATTTCTGTATCTGTTTCATGATCATTTAATAATAGGCAAGTAAGTGTCGACTTTTTGGGTCTTAGGCAAGTATTCTCACGATCCTCCTTCATCGTTCGAGAAAACTAAGTGCGCACATAGAAAAGTCTATTGGTGCACAGCCGGGGATCGAACCTACGACCTCAGGGATTAGAGTCGCATGCTAAAGCTACCAGGCGAACACTGCTCCTTAATAAAGATTCGTTAATGAATAATATTGTATTATAGTATTAAATCCAATTGGATAAGTTCTTGCTTCTTCCATCCATCACCCCAAAACTGTGTAAATGTCTGCTGTCGTCAGCCACCTTTTGACTTTTTCATACTTATTAACACCCATTTGTACCTTAGTACATAGTATGTAAAGACCGGGATTATTTTTTCTAGAGAAGACTGTATGAAGAAGATTCAAAAGTTGATGCGAGATCACAAATACGAAGATGCCTTGGGGACCTTTAGAGCTGCCAGGTTTGTTTATTACTTACTAGCGGACCAGACAGACGTCCTATATAAAAAAATAATTACAAAAATCTAACTTAAAAAAATCTATTTGTAACCATTCTCGATTCCACTGGAATACTTATCATAATTGTTCCAGCTGTTTTATTATAGAAGAGATATCATATGAAAATTAAATTATTTTTGTTTTAGTTATTTTTTTATAATAAATGTTCACTGTTTAAACCTTCCCTGAACACATATATTCTAAGATCAAAATTAGCCAAAGCAGTCGAGCTATTCTCGAGTTTTACCACCAACGAACGGCAATTCATTTTTATATATGAAATTATTCCAGCATAAATCTTACGGCAGGAAATAATAATCTTATTATTTATTACCATTAAATAAACTTCAGGTCAGAGTGTCTTCCCCTTAATAGACTCTAAGTAGTGTTATTGGACACTATGTAAAAATTTATATATTATATATATTATACATTCGACAACAAACGAATTAACAAACAAATATGGTCGCCACCATGGCATATTCCGTTCAACCAATCAGCGCACGAGGTGCGTACCGTTTCACAATTTGACGATTTCACTTCGATAGATTATAATCTACCGAATAATAATACGTTAAATTGTAAGCAGTACATTGAGTTCACAATCTTTCGACAGTTTATAATCTCGCGAGATAGATTACAATCTAACGGTTTTTACAATTTTACGTTAACATATACATTAGTCGTAAGTTATATCGTAATATTAAATTGTGTGCAAATTGTGTCCGTTGTGGAACGACGGACGTCGAGGTGTTATGGATGGTATTTTGTATTATGCCTTGACGTCTAACGATAATACTTTATTGTGAATAAAAGTAGAAGCATGAATGGCCTAATCTATTTATTTAAACATTTTTTTAAATATTCATAGGGTCACTGTAAGATGTTGTTAGGTTAGCTAATTACGTAATAACTTAGGACAAAAGGTCTCTTGGGGACTGAATAAATTAACCCACTTGGTATTACATGGATTACAACTTTTTAATGTTTAAAGAACTTTATTTTTCATTACAAAAAATGTATCGTATTTACATGAGAAACTTAATATGTATATACGAACGAGATCCACGTCGCCATCAGCCGTCCCAATTTTAGTCTACTCTCATTCTGTTATGTATCTTTAATGCCTTTTTGAATTGGTTAAACGCGCTAATATTAAGAATTTTAGACGGTAATTGATTAAATAATTGCACACCCTCATACTGAATAGACTTCTTCAAATAATTTGTACGCTAGAAAAACCGATTTGCGAGATATTTTTATCAAGTTATATTTTGATGGCATTTTTTTGATCACGAAGACTTTAATACACCCCACAACACATGAAAATTCGATTATAATGAGCTTAAAAGGCCGGCAACGCACTTGCGAGCCTTCTGGCAATGTGCCAATGGGTATAACATCAGGTGAGCCTCCTGCCCGTTTGCCTTCTGTTATTTAAAAAAAAATTAAATAATCTTGCTCATCGTTTAAGTTGGATTAATTCTAAATGTTTTGGTTTGAAAGGAATTCTCAATAATTTTTAGAGAAGTGTGGCCCGAGGAGGGTATATTTGGCACCGAAGGCATCCAGGAACACGAAGAGTTGGATATGTTGGAAACTATTTATAATACGGATTTGGGAGTGGAAAATGACGGTAAATTAAATAATTTAGTTTTCCTTTTAATTGTATTAAAATAGATTTAATATTTCAGTGAAATTTAGTTATTTATATATTTGCTTATCAGTATTAATACAGCTACTTATTATACAATATCTAAAGATTTAAATTATAGACAAAAGGCAAAAACGGAGTACACATTCAAAGATAAACATAAAACAAAGTTAACAATTATATGTTAATTATTACTACTACAAAAAATATATGTATGTAAATTGTAGTGTAGTAGTAATTGTACTGTAAATTGTAATGCAATGCATTGATAATATAATATCTAATATATAAAATTCTCGTGTCGCGGTGTTTGTAGTTAAACTCCTCCGAAACGGCTCGACCGATTCTCATGAAATTTTGTGTGCATATTGGTTATTTTTCATCCCCCTAAATGTTAAGGGTAGTCCACCCCTAAAAATTTTTTTTAAATTTTAGATAAAAATTTTATTCTTTATTTTTTATGATACAGCATTAAAAAATACATACGACCCCTAATTTTCACCCCTCTACGATCAACCCCTATTTTTTATTATAAATGATATAGATGGCAAAACGACGTTTGCCGAATCAGCTACCAGAGATTTTTATATTGTTTTATAAGCATTTTTTAGTTACATTAAATATCACTAGTAATTTGTGTTATATCTGAAGGTATACGATTACTTTAGTCATAAATTTTTTTCATATATTATTTAAAACGAAAATTTATTTTAGTCAATTAAATGTTAATTATATTTAAAAATATTAAAACTTAAACAGTTTGATGTGCAGTTAAAATTTGATAAGCAATGGTTTCCGTAATCAGAGTACATTGATTACTGGGTTCAAATCCTGAGAGAATACACTGGATGGTGTACCGTCAAGGTTTCTTAAAATGACATGCTATAGTTTTATTTAGTAAAACTTTTATTTCAATGAATCAATGGGCGTGTTCGGCCGAAGTAAGTACTTACTAAATTTAGTAAGTCACTTACTATGCTTACAAAATTTTCGGCCGGGACACAAAATAAGTGCTAACGCAGTAAGTATGGCTTAATATACGACGCCATTTTGCTTATTGTTGATGTAAACAAAACGGACAATAAAATATCCAATAAAATATTTCTCATAAAATTATCCATTTGAAACTATTCACAGGTATTAAATTATATTCCTAAATTTAGTACTGTCAATTATATTCAGTCTATGAGGTTATGTACGGGATATGACATAAACCGGTGTTTTGTGTTATGTTAATAAGCCAGTAAGTCTGTCCTGGCCGAAAAGCGCTACAGTCAGCTTGTAAGACTTTAATTTTTTTATGCTTACTGGCTTACTAAGTTTAGTAAGTACTTACTTCGGCCGAACACGCCCAATCAGTCGAGTAACTAATGCCGAATCAATGATTTTCTATAAAGAAATGTGATAAGTGACAAAATATTTTTTTATTTAAGAAACCGTTCAAGAACAGGAAGAAGAAAATTCAGAGTACGACGAAGAAGGTAAAGACTTTAAATTATTTTTGATTTTTTATTTCAATTTTGTACCAAAATAATTAATTTTTCCTATCAAAGTATTATTTTTTTATTTAATTACATATTATGTTATTCTTTGCACCACTTTGTAATTTAAACATTTTCTTATTAGACGAGGAAGAGGACAGAACCACATCCGTTGTGGAAACGGAATTTGATTTTCAAGACTTTATGCAAAGGTATGTTTTATAAATCTATTTACGCAGTTCACATAATTGCAAAATTAAAATTTTAATAGTTTTTGAGATATAGTTAATGCAATTATGGTTATCAGTGGCGCTACAACCTTTTTAGGTCTGGACCTCAGATTACTGTATCTGTTTCATGAGGATTTATCAATCTAATAGGCAATTAGATGATCAGCCGCCTGTACCTGATACACGCCGGTTTCCTAACGATGTTTTCTTTCACAAACAAAGTTTTAAAATTGATCTTGCAAATATAGAATTTATTTATTTATTAACTATCTAAATGAAAAGACGGGCAATCAATTGCCCATTCAAGGTCAACCTTATCGCTTTCGAGCGATCTCTTCTAGGCAACCATTGTGAGAAAATCAAATTAGATTATTTATTGTCCAATTACAAAAATTAAAATTATTATTATTTGAATATATTTAGTGGTGTGGATGGCGACGAACACAATACTTATGATGTTATGAAATAAAAAATATTTTTTTAAATACTTTTTTAAGATTCTGTCATCCACGCGTAGTGAGCGCCTGCGTGTCCTTACTAGACCGTTTTGAAAAGAACACGCCGTACACAAACCACTGTATAGCTAAAATGCTGCACAGAATTGCGTGGGACTGCAGAAGACCAGCCATGATGTTTCAGGCCTCACTGTTTTTGATATTTCAAAGGGTTTTGACGAATAACATTCAACATTTTAAGGTAAGCATAGACGATAAAGATTATTATAAATATTTTTCGAATTATAAAAAAGACTTTTATAAATCGGCACCAGGCTCTTGCCTATTTGTATTTGTTATATTTAAAAGGATAGATATGATTTTGTGTTATTAAAAAATATATATAAAATACATAAAAATTGCCGCTCGTAGGGTTTATTTGTGCGGAAAGAGAACCAGCATGGCATTCGATCTAATAAAATTCTTTCTTAAGGCAATTTCTGCCTCGCACCACCACTATGTAGAACCAGCTGCCCACTGAAGTATTTCCGAACCAATTCGACTTAGGGTCCTTCAAGAAAAGAGCGTACCAATTTTTGCGAGCCTTCTGGTAGCTTAACATCAGGTGAATCTCCTGCCCGTTTACCTCCTGTAACATAAAAAAGTACACAATCTAATATATAAAATTCTCGTGTCACAGTTTTCGTTGCCATACTCCTCCAAAACGGCTCGACCGATTCTCATGAAATTTTGTGTGCATATTGGGTATGTCTGAGAATCGGACAACATCTATTTTTCATCCCCCTAAATGTTAAGGGTAGTCCACCCCTAAATATTTTTTTTTTATTTTTAGATATTTTTTTCTGTTTTTATTTTTTATGATACAGCATTAAAAATACATACAAACCCCTAACTTTCACCCCTCTACGATCAACCCCTATTTTTTTATTATAAATGATATAGGTATATGGCAAAACGACGTTTGCCCGGTCAGCTAGTAATGTATAAAAGCATCCTGAGAAAACATCGAAATCGCATTTAAAACGTCAATGTTCATTAAATAACTTATTAAACAGGAGTTGGAAAAATTCGCGATATACGTTATAAGGAAATTCACGGATATTGCATCGCGCAGTCCGAAGGCTTTTATCGAACTTCTTTTCTGGACCAACTCGAAGGACGCGGTCGAAGTCGAGTGCGGATACGATCTGTATAACGACCAACGGTAAGTGCTAAGTATTTGAATACGACCAGAAATTCAATTCCATTTCTATCGCTGCATAACAAGATTCTAAAATTATTTTATTCATATAATACATTTACACCTTAAATAAACAGGCAAGTAACTGATCTCTGCTCTTTTGAATCGCTTACCAAGGTGTAAGGAATTGCAAAAATTAAACCATACTTAACATATTTAAACAATTACTTTATTATACCTATCCATTTACAAAAGCTTGCTCACTTTGATACATTGGTAAATAAAGAATAAATAAATAGTACAAGATTTACGAGAAGAGAAAGAATAAATAAATAGCACGTGTCCATTCATAAATTTAAAAAATAATAAATGAAAATTGATTTTAAAGTGTGAAGGAAACAACTATGGATATCCAGACCTAATTAATTAGAATGCTCAATCTGGATATTGGTGAGTTATGGCCAAAACGCTTTCTTCTAAAGAAGGGACAAATTAACTTTAGTTACAAGGTTGGGGCAATTGACCTTCGTATATAACAAATCAAATCAAATCACATCAAAAATCATTTATTCATATAGGTAACACAATGTACACTTATGAACGGCAAAAAAAAAATACATTAAATGCTTCTAATTTTACATTTACTGCCAGTTCTCAAATCAAGGGCGTAGAACGGAAGAGAAGAACTGGCAATAAACTCTCCGCCACTCTTTTTAAACGCCAAGTTTTACACAACGTTTGTTACTTCTTATACATTTAATGATAAGTTACAATTTTATTCGTAAAGACAACCTCCCCCTCCCCCCACTCTTTTTTTCCTACAAAAGCCACCTGGATGTCGGCCAGCGTTTTAGGAAAGGTCGTTGCTCCCATCGCGTTTGGGGTCGTCCTTTACGCCGTTTCCCTTTTGGTAAACGATATATCAATTAATTTTCTAAGATTCTCAAATGACATCTTAAAGTGCTCTAACCTAGTTTCGTATATTGATAACTTCGAAACGCCACTGAATATAAGTAGATTAATATTTTATAAATAAATAATATTGGTCGTATTTCCGTGCATCAATATACTTTTTATGCGCGCATTTAACATTCGCTCGAACGGTGAAGGAAAACATCGCCAGGAAACCGGCTTGCCTTAGTCCCAAAAAGTCGACAGCGTGTGTCAGGCACAGGAGGCGGATCATCTACTTGCCTATTAGATAGACAAATGATCATGAAACAGATATAGAAATCTGAGGCCCAGACCTAAAAAGGTTGTAGCGCCACTGATTTATTTTATATAAATAATTATTATTTTAGAAGAGTACGTATGGAACTACCTTTTGCATGGGGCAACTAGAGTAATTATTTTTTTTCAAATATTTTTAACTTGTATTTTTTTGATTAGGCCTAATTGAAATAAATGATATGACTTTGGCTTTTAACAACCTATTGCCCATTTTAAATATGTTAATGTAATTATTATATAAATGAAACTACTTTTATTGGGAATTACTTTATGAATTAACCATGATAGTACAATCAGTATTTGGATGCAATCCAAGGCCGACTCATAACTTAGAATCACAGCTCCCACTAGCTTTGGCAAACGGCTTTGCTTGCGTGAATTATGTCCTACATGGTACGGGGTGACTGGGGACGAATTAACACTATCTTAGTCCATATATTGTGGCTTGTTTGCGTACAAAATGTCTACTCAATTTGAAGGGAATCACTGTTAAAAGTTCTCGCTTAGATAAATTCCTAGTAACATTTTTGCTTACTGCGTCTTCTATAGTAAACAGGAAATATCTGATGAATTTTCCATTAGCTTATCTCATCTTCAAAAATAAAAACATTGGCGCTACAACCTCTTTAGGTCTTGGCCTCAGATTTCTGAATCTGTTTCATGATAATTTTTAAATCTAATAGGCAAATAGGTGATCAGCCTCCAGTGACTGACACACGCCGTCGACTTTTTGGGTCTAAGACATGTCGGTTTCCTCACGATGTTTCCTTCACCGTTCGAGCGAATGTGAAATGCGCACATAGAAAGAAAGTCCATTGGTGCACAGCCGAGGATCGAACCTACGACCTCAGGGATGAGAGTCGAGCGCTGAAGCCATTTGGCCAACACTGCTCACACAAATACATATTTGATATAAAAGTCTCCGACGAAATTAAACTTCACGACGAGCTTAAACAGATGAAGACATTTATTGTCATCATATGTCATCGGCGATTCCAATAATCTGTGACCGTCTTGTCACTTGACTGACGTATGACAGTCAATATTTTTGACAAATTTATGATTATTTTAGTACATGACGCTTTATATGTTTTACACAGATTACTCAAAATAATAGTTTCATACTGTCAAATAGTCTATAGCACTAATTATAATAAAAATAACTGTTGGCTTAGTGGCCAGTTTTTTGATCCGTAGTAAAAAATGGTTTTACCATTTGTTACATTAACTATAGTTAAATGAATAACCATTGGTAAAATCGTAAATGCGTTTTTCAATGCCTTTTTTAACTATAGTTAAAGTTAACAATTTGTCAATTTGTTGCCAGTGCAATGAGCAATGACATCCCAAAAAATGTGGTTCTTTTTTGTGGGGATCATTTATTTTGTATGACAACACTAGACATATTGAGTGAATGAAATCCATTTTTGCCATCTTCATTCGTTATTTGCGCTTTGAAGAGTTTGAAGTGTCAAATTAATCTAAATAACACGATATAAATAAAGTTGTTTTTCTGTGATTTAATACGGTTTACACTTTTTACGATACTTAAATATATAAATAACGATGTCCGCAAACAGCCAACGGTCAAATAAGTAAGTTCAAACATATTTTCGTGTTATTTATTCCGGTTTATCTTGTGTTTCGTAATAGAAAGTAATACATTTATGTTTTGTTAAAGGGACCATACTGCTAACTTCGCCAAAAAGAAACTGCCAAACTGGTGATGCTTCTCAAGGATTACACAGTCGTAACCTGCAAACAACTGATCACTGCAGCAATCTACAAAAAGATGCAGCTTGGAAATCTCTGTGACGTTTTCAACTCAGATGGGTCTAGACACCGAAGTGTTAAATTTAATATACATTTAATGAAGGTGTAGGCACATTTTTATATTTATTCTTGTATAGCTGTGTCCTACAACAAAAGGAAAAAATCTTTTAACCCTTTGGAAACAAGGAAGCGGATTATGATCCACACGGATAAAAAAAAATTGAGTTTAGAAACAAAGACAAATAAGAGAGGATGATATGTTCAATTATGCTTAAGAAGAGCATCAAAAACATTTGCTGCACCAATGAGAGGCCCACCAAAAATTCATACTGCATAAAGAGGAGGTGCACCAAAAAGTGATGCAGCAGATGGAAGAAAAGCACAATAAATATATGTAGCAGCAAAAAGAGTTGCATCAAATTGAGGTGAAATGCAAGAAGAAACAATTAGAAAATATTTAATTGCTACTTTAGGGTTTCATGTAAATTTTGTTATGTTTTTTTAATAAAAATGGTTTGTATTTAAGTTATAATTAAACAGTTTATTAATCAAGTCAAATGTTTTATTTATAAATTCTTGTAATAAAGTAGATAGATGCTAACTCACAAATGTAATAAAAGCCCTAAAGAATATCATAGGTCCCTAACTAATGTGTAGCTGTAGTTTTTAGTATAAGTACATACTTGTATGTACTTATAATAATTATAAGTTAATATTATTAGTAATATATAAATAATATTAACTCTAATTCATTATGTATTCTATTGCCTATAATATTAACTTATAATAATTATAAGTTAATATTATAGGCAATAAAACACATAATGAATTAGTAATATACTTAATTATATACTGCTGCGGTTCTGTAGCTAGTAATGAAGCAAAATAGGTTTGTATGAGCTGCTGTCTATATATACTCTTGTTCTTGTATTTTATTTAATTATAATAATTATAAGTTAATATTATAGGCAATAAAACACATAATGAATTAGTAATATACTTAATTATATACTGCTGCGGTTCTGTAGTTAGTAATGAAGCAAAATAGGTTGGTATGAGCTGCTGTCTATATATACTCTTGTTCATTGGCAGTTTAAGATCATTCCCAATTTCAGTAACAATCCAGAGCACTGTTCCCTTCGATAGGGGGTAACAGTGACAAAAATCTACATCATCCCAGGTTTCTAATGGCGGATGACATTGCCTAAATATTTTTGGTCACTCATTAACACATTCTCATATAATATTATCGTCTTCTTCATCGTCTCATTAATTAAAGTATCTCAATATGTTTAAATTCATCATTAGATAGTAATAAACGTATTTATCATAGTTTGATTTCTGTGACAAACAGCTGTTAGTATATAAATTACCAGCGGCCATCTTTTTTAACCCTCCGATACTGAGTAGTTAACTTTTTTTGACTAATGGTTAGATATTTTACCATTGGATGCTCTTACCACGGATCAAAAAACGCATTTTGCTGATATTTAACTAATAGTAACGATTTTTTACCAATAGTTGAGTTAACTACGGATCAAAAAACCGGCCCTTAGTGGCTTCAGCTTATCTCATCTCTGAGGTCGTAGAGTCGATCCCCATGCACCAATGGACTTTCTATTAGAGCATTTAAGGAAAACAGCTTGCCTTAGACCCAATAAGTCGATGGTATGTGTAAGGCACAAGAGGCTGATCACCTACTTGCCTATTGACAAATGATTATGAAATATACAGAAATCTGAGTCTCAGACCTAACAAGGTTGTAGCGCTAATGATTTATTTTATTTTTAAATATGAGCCATGAAATTTCCGTCTTCCCGTAAGCCATTTTAAACCATTAATCTTGATAGACGTTAAAGCTATGAAACCATTCCCGGCGGTCAAATTTAATCTGAGCAGAGCAAACAAAGAAAAATGTGGTTCCCTTAACTTCTTGATTACGCAAATTCGTAATTAAGAGTCGACGAAAACAAATTGCCCCGAATTGTTATAGCTTATTTTTTTACATAAATATTTTTAATTCATATATTTTGATAATTTATGGTAACATTTAGGGGCGTGGCATAGAGCTACTTTAATACCTCAAAATCGTATTTTGACATTCGGGAGTCACTTAGCGTTAAGTCTCTGCTCTGAATCTTACTCTGAGAATTTTTATTTGCAATTCACACTTGTTTTTACGGTAATGGAAACCAGCAAGTTTTATACATACCCATAGACTACGTTTCTTAGGCAGGGAAGCTGACCTACTTGCCTAGGTCAAAGGAACAGAAGCAACCTTAGACCAAAACCGTCAAAGGGTTACAACGCTTCAATTTGATTAATTGTTGTTGCAGATTTGAATGATATCACCTCATGGTGTATTTCCAATGGAATGCGGCTGAATGTCGAAAAATATAGTTTCGTTCGTATTACTATACGGAAAATTATATTTCACTAATTATATAGCAAAATGGATTAATCAAACTTTTTACAATAAACTAACATTTACAGAACAGAACAATACAATTAAGAATCTCTAAGATGCTTTGTTCTGAGAAATACTATGTGATTCCGAAACATCGAAACAAAAATTATGTTATACAACAGTCTCGTGCGCAGCATACTGGAATACGGTACAGTTGTATAAAGGCCGCATTATGCATCACATATGTTGCCACTCGTTGGTAAAAAAAATCTCCAGTAGCATTTTGAAAAGAGTTGCCAAATTGCCAATATACGAAGGCTGTATGATCTTCTCCTACTCCTCCCTCAAAGGCCGGCAACGCACCCACTAAAAATGGGTGTCTATGGGCTGCGTAGACTGCCCTTTTTGGTCGTCCCGCAAGCTCGTTTGCCCCCCTATTATATTAAAAAAAAAAAAAACTTGTCATTGGGAAATCTTAGAAAATTAATTGATATATATCGTTTGCGTTTATCATAACATAACATTTATTACTAACGAAACACACACAGAGAAACAAACAAAATAATACTAATAAAAAAAAAATAACAAAAAAATATGGAAAGAAACAAAGGGAATATGGTACATTTTAAGTGTGTAAAGCGTGCGTTCTCAGGAAGTAACTAGCCCTGGCCTAGTTAACAACAAAAAGTTATGATTTCAAAAAAACATATTTTGAATAACTTCATATTATCTTCAATACACTCAATAAACAACTGTAAATATAGTATGTCTAACGCAAGAACTCATCAGTAACAATCTAGTGGATATTATGGAAAAGATACAGGAAGTAGATTTTTTCGAATTTTAATAAGAATTAGTAAAAAAAGTCAATTTTCTTATAAAAACGCAAAATAAATTATAACTCTGCAGGGGTTGAGCTTAGATACCTCCTGTAGAACAATTTTTTGCAGCTGATGACCTCATCTATCCCCTATTTGCGTTTGATCCACGACTTTTTGGCCACCCTGTATAAGTGCTTGTCATATTAAATCTTGTAATTTATTTTTCTTTATGTACCAATGTATCAATGTGCTTTTGTAAATAAAATTATTGAAATCAAGCTGTTTAGGTTTCATTAGTATTATGTTTTGTTAGAAAGATCTTGACTATGATGACTCTTTTATGTTCTGTCTCTTTAGGGGCAAGGAAGGCAAGCACTCCTGGTCTGAAGAACAAGAAGAGGAATTACGTAAACTGTATATGGAAAACCAGGCGAATCCAGTGAATGAACAAGGTAAAAACTGTCACAAAATGAAATTTCCTCGAATACATATTTTTCCGTATCACCTCGACGTCGTCGTTCCACAACTGAGCGATTCTTAAGACAGTTCTTGCCGCGGACCATGACTATGTGGAACCAGCTGCCCACTGAAGTATTTCCGAACCAATTCGACTTAGGGTCCTTCAAGAAAAGAGCGTACCAATTCTTGAAAGGCCGGCAACGCACTTGTGAGCCTTTTGGCAATGTGAGTGTCCATGGGCGGCGGTATCACTTAATATCAGATGAGCCTCCTGCCCGTTTGCATCTTATTACATTAAAAAAAAATTGTTTATTAATTCATTCATTAAAATAGCTCACGCAATACTGGAACGTGGCTTACCTTTAAACATGTCACAAATAATTGATTTATTTATCAAAAACTATATGAGAATTTGGGGAAACTGATCGTGGTTGGTAACACAGAAGGCAAAAGATCACGTGGCCGTTCACCAACCCGTCACTTGATCGGTCCATCTGGATCCAGTGAAGGACTCATCATCCTTAAACAGTGTCATAAGAGGCGCAGACAGGAACCGGTGGATAAAGATTGTCCGATAGACAGACATGAGCTACCGACTGAAGAGAGTTATTTATACAATAAAAATTACATATAAACATATACCTACTTTATATTCTATCGCTGAATATAAAGGTCATTCAAATGTAGTAGGCATTATTTATTAGACATCTTTGCTAACGGGTCACTGCAGCTGGAGATGAAAAGTTAATATGGCTTGTGAACTGAGGTCCAAAGTTCAAAATTGGCATTTTAATAAGTAATACTCTTGGTTATCGCCTCGTTATCACATGACGGAGTATACTCCAAGCGTGGCCGTCCCAACGGGATGATGTGGAATAGAGAGGGAAGTCTTGGCTCACTCATTTCACTATAGCCAATCTGAAATGTACTGATAATGTTTCGAGTGAAACGTACTGATACTGATTGGTTCCAAGTTCCCGTCTTAATAACTATTATTAGGACGGGAACTTGGAACCAATATAGTATCTTAAGTATCACGTATCGTTTATAATAAATGAGAAATCACAAAAAAGGTTACGTTTGAATAGTTGAAGTATTTCCGAACCAATTCGACTTAGGGTCGAAGAAAAGAGTATCAATTCTTAAAAAGCCGGCAACGCACTTGCGAGCCTTCTGGCAATGTCCATGGGCGGCGGTATCACTGAACCATCAGATGATCATCAAAAAAAACATATTGGTACAAAAATCATATTAATCTAAAATCCAGTGCCGCTACGACCTCTTGGTAGTGGTCTTCTGTATCTGTTTCGTTATTCTCTTGAATAAGCAAGTAGATGATCGGCCTTATGTGCCTGATTCAATTGGGTCTAAGGCATTCCACAATGATTTCGAAAGCGTAACATCGCAAGTCCATTGGTGCACTGCCGTGACTCGAACGCCAGACCTCAAGATTAAAAATCACTGAAATCACTGGCTCTAGTCTGGTCTTACATATTTTATTGTATTAATTACGCGTCCATTACTTACGCGGGCGGAACTGCAGGGAAGAACTAGTATGCAAGTATGTGGTCAATACTTGGGGCTGTCCAAATCAGTTGGTATTGTGTGGCAGCGGTCTGCCTCAAGACGTTTGTGTTATGTAGGCTCACGGGTTTAATGTGTATAATAATATTATGAAACAAACCTTATGTGAATAAACGCAAACAAATATTGCAAAGGTTATTGAAGTGAAACTCCTTTAGGCGCATGAGAGTGACTTTTACGGATGAAACGCAATAATAATAATATTAGCGTTACGAAGATGTGCAGCGTTTTTGTCGAAAAAAAGGGAGAGAGCGATTGAGACCGATTGAGAGAAAGTGAGAACGGCGAATTACCTTATAGATTTTATATTTTTAAAATCAAAATTTCGTAAAGAGAGTTTATGAAATATTATTTTAGATTTTATGCCAAAATAATTTATTGAAATCTCAAATGACGAATTGTAAATTAAAATGCCACGTGTTTTTACTATCGAAGAAATAAATTTAAAAAATTAAATTTATAATTTGTATTAATTTTCGACACTTAATATTTTAATGACAATCAAATTCATTAAATTTCTAACACATCTTCCTTTTTCCCTCCCTCTAAGTCTCGGAAATCTAAAGTTTTAGATTTGTATAAATAAGAACAAGACTTAAAAATTAGTTCGCTAAAGAAGTTTCACTTCTGACATGTGTACTTTCTACGCACGCACTTTTTTTCGGTTCAAAGATACTTTATTTATCAAAGAATTACATTCACTTAGTGAGAAATTTTATTGTACGTTGGTGGCGTACGTCGTGTTACGAAACTATTAACTGTAGTTGCTAAAAATATGTACAATATTTTTTACTAAAGTGCAGGTAGGTCGCATCGATGTCACGACACGCATTTCATCGTTAGAATTTCAACTCTGGCCGACTATATTTACATATTTAAAAAAATATTTTGTCCACCCATGGGAAGTCGGAAAAGCCCAGTCAGTCATTTCATGTGATATCCAGTGGCGGTTTTACAAATGTTGAAGGTAGAGACTGAATTTTGTGCCGACCTAGCCTCTACAATTGTCATGTCAGATGATTATTTATACACAAACCATCCAGTTCGCATCCTCCCACCAGTAGTTGGACTGACATGTATGGGGTTGATACGGGGAAGAGGGAAGAAAATACATTTTCTGCAATTTCGCTCTTTTCACTCATAGTGTGAGCTGAGGGCGCAGAAGTGGATTGCTGATTAGGTGTTTTACTGTAGAATATGGAAGTTTGCTACACCAAAAGTGCAATGACGAGTTAGAGGGGAAATATATCGGCAAAATTTGTTGCAGACTTCTATCTGTAAAACATAAGAAAACGTCAAAATCTGTTTGATTACTAAAAGGTAGCAAAAAAAATCGTACCCTAAATTTGCCGCCCTACATTCCTATTCAGCCCTCAGGTAAACCCGCCACTACTGATATCAGTGATATAATGTAATTATTAACTTAAATTAACACTTTCACAGAAACAATAATTTTATACAAACAAACATCACAGCTGATAAGTCGAAGAAGGATTCCACACAAAATGTTTTTCACGCTATAATTTATTTTACGAATAATTATTTCACATAATAATCTTCTTCTTCTTTCTTCTTTTGGGGGCTCTATTACTCGTTGGTCGTTAGTCTTTTGTCGTGTCTTGTCATGTGCCTGATGCCAGCTATTTCGCAGTCGCAATATCTTCACTGACGTTGCGAAGCCATGATTTTTACCTCCTACCAACACCGTTTACCCTGAATTTTACCCATTATAATTGAAGGCGGTAGCGGTCATGGCGGAACACGTCTACAACCTCTTCACATTATAATTTACGTATACGTTCATAATTTTCCATAATAATTTAATACTTTAAATGACGCTAAAATATTCAACAATTTCCTCTCTGCATTAAAATTTGCTATACGTAGTTCACACGACACTTAGTCGGGAAACGTTCAATTATTAGCGTAAAAGCACTTCTCGTTTAACGACACTAGAATCCTGAATAAGGCGAAATGAATCTTAAGTTTCAAGCAACAGTTATTCTCAGTTATTAATATAATTTTCCGTGAAAACGTGGAATTATTTGCTGGTACGCTGATGTATATTTTTGTTTAATATTAAAGGGAATTTAAGATGTTTTATGTCACTGAATAGTACCAAAGATTTTAACCTCTCTCTCAGTCGGTAGCGTAGTATCTGTTTCCATCTGTGTACAGCGCCTCTTACTAGATACAGTACTAAGTACATACTACATACAGTACTAAGTACATACTACATACAGTACTAAGTACATACTACATACAGTACTAAGTACATACTACATACAGTACTAAGTACATACTAAGTACATACTACATACAGTACTAAGTACATACTACATACAGTACTAAGTACATACTACATACAGTACTAAGTACATACTACGTAGTCGGTCCCAAAGTTCTGTCATAAATGGAAATAATCATAAAAACAAAAGTACTGATCAGTTTTTAATGAGTGATATATCAATTCATAGTACATTAATTAAGGAATAGAAATAGCATAAACTTATTCGAAATGACCTCCCTTATTTTTAATACAGGCCCTTAAGCGCCGCAGCCAGTCGTCTATCGCAGCACGCACCATATTCATGTCGATTTCAGTGACTGAGTTTTTTAAAGACGACTGCAGACTCTCCAAATTTTTATGGGGTGTATCACAGACCTTCCTCTCTAAGACCTGCCAAAATTTATAGTCCAAAGGATTAAGGTCCGGACTGGAGGAAGGCCAATCCTCATGTCTAATTAAATCCATGTTTTGACGCTCAAACCAGGCTTTAGTGGTCTTGGCTTTGTATGCAGGCTCAGAGTACTGCTGGAACACGAAGTGATGTCCCGCAAATAGGGTGCTGGACAGGTCTTTGACAAGGCGATCCAAAACCGTCTCTCGGTACACTTTAGCTCTGGTTTTGACCCCCTTTTTGCAAAAATGAACCTCAGTTAGCCCGTAATAGGACACTCCCAACCAGACCATTACTGATGATGGATGATGTCCATGTTGTACCCTTGGAACTTTATTTTTAGCTTCTTCAGAACTCCTAGCGTACACTGTATCAATCTGTTTATTGTACTTCTCTTCATTATCGAAATTTTTTTCGTCCGTAAAGAGGATATCACGGTGTCGGTTTTTCGCGTACCGCTTAAACAACACCCGCGATCTCTTAAGCCTTATTGCTTTTAGACGAGCATTAAGTAAGTTCCCACTTTTTTTTTGTATGCTCGTAGACCAAGATCTTCATTTAAAACCTTTTTTATTGTTTTCCTACTGACACCCATCTGCAAAGCCATCAACTTCTGTTTTCGGACAGAATTTCTTACTATCCGCGCTTTGATAGCTTTGATTACTGCTGGTGTTCTTGTGGAGCGTGGCCGGCCAGTTCTTTTCTTGTCCTCAACACTGGAGACTTCAAGGTACCTATCAATAGTACCGTACACAAACCTAAGCGTTATATTAAAATTTTTGAGCAACTTGAAAATGGTACTCGGCGAGTGCCCACAGCGGTGCAACACAATAACAACTATTCGGTCTTCTTTCAATGTCCACTCCGTCGTGAAAACTTACTGAAAGTTATTGTTTTTTATTTTAAAACAATAGTCAAACATTCCAAATTAGAATGCAATAACTTTTTTATAAAATCCTGCTCGAAATTTAGAAATAATGTGCCAGTGACAGAACTTTGGGACCAACTACGTACATACAGTAGTAAGTAATAACTACGTACAGTTTTGAGGCCTTTTGCCTTCTGTGATACCAACCACGATCAGTTTCTCAAAGTTCTCATCGCCTTTGCGCATTGTATGGACGTAATATGAGATAATTCGTTGTCGGGATATGGTAGACAGGCGAGTCCGTATGAGTTCACAAGAGTAAGACAAACTATTTCCATTTTACTATTGACGATTTGTCTTAAGTAATATTATATAGAACGTACTTTCTTCGCCCAACGCTTTTTTCTCTTTCAGAGGCCCTTTCATTTATAACCACTTTCTTAAAAACAAAATTTTCACCAACGAATCATAAACCACATTCACTAAATATCTTAAACAACTTCTCAACCTGTCCTGTGCTGAAACAGAAACGTTTCTTATTGGGCAACAAAAGTTTAATTATAAGTGTTATGTAGAAATTATTGTCGTACCGTTAAAATGTCAAAAAGAAGAGACTAAGATGTCCACGACTCCTGTCGTAGTGTGGAGGCTGTTGCACTTTCTTTTTTAACTAAACATGCCTTTTTAATTAAGTATAATTTTTTTATTTAATTTTTTTTTTAAAAACTTTATTAGTGTAAAATAAATATAAAAACCACCGCACTGTTGGCTTAAAATATGTCTCTTGCCAACACAGCGTAAATACAGTTTGACAGAAAGAGACGAAAGAGTGAGTGCAAGTAGGATAATTAAGTTTTAATATGATAATATCTTTCCATAGATGTAATAGAATGGATCCTAGACAACTTAATAGACCAAACCAGAACCAGGCGTGGCGTGATCAAGAAGTTGAAGGAACTAGGTCTAATATTCCGCGCTCCGACCAAGAAAAGTAACAAGGAGAGAAGAGAAAGAGTACCAAAGGAGTTTACGGAAGAAGAAGATGAGATGTTAAGAGGACTTTGGGCGCAGTTTGGGGAGACTGACGGTGAGTTTAATATTAATTTGCTTATTCTTTTTATTAGACAGCATCATCCGTACTCAGAATGGTTAGTTAAATATCTAATAATTAACAATCGTGTGTCACCTCCCGCCTATTGCCGGCTTTCAACTGAAGAAAGATCCTTCTACACTCTATAGATCCAATGGTACGTAGACTGATGTACTGGTCTCCGACCTCCGGCCGGCACCAGTAAGCTTCCATCACCGCCCGATCTTGGCCCATGCGCTTTAGGTGCCCCAGCCAACTGATCGATAGACCTTGTATATTATTATTTTTTTATTTCGTATTCTTACAGCTAACATAAATTATATATAACAAAAAACAATTATACTAAAGATAAAGGCAAAGATGGAATACATAAAAATTACAAAAAGGTTCTAACATTTACGAAAAGAAAAATTATTAAAAACATTTAACTAAGTAATACCTACTTCGGCTGTGTTGTGTGGTGATGTGAAAGAATGTGCGTGGGAGTGCTCCTGTTGCCGGTTATTTAGCGCTTTGGATATTCTTAATACTCCACGATAGCTCAAACGAGTCAAGGCTTGAATAGTGGTCGTTGTTTGTAATAATATATAACAAAACTAAAGAACGATGCAACTTCAAAATTTCATAATAATGTCTATTATAACGATTTCTTTTTGAAACCTACCTTTATAATGTATCTAAGAAAGTCATTTGAACTTATGATAAATAATAACCGTTATTTGTTTTAATAAGTAATTATATATTAAAGAACTAAAGTGTAATTTATTGCCCAATTAATGAATTATTAAGATAAAGCTTTTCTTTATAGTATTAATGCACAATATATTAATTTACCCAATAATACAGCGCATTAAAGCTTACGATTGTAACCATGAACAAATCTCTCTGTTTACTTTAACGTACGACTCTGAGTGCGACTGTAAATCCTCTAAAAGTTATCCGTATCTTGCCACATTGTTGAAATAAATACAACATTGGCCCATTTTACCTCGATGCCGACCCAATCGATACGGCGCAGCCACAGAGGACATATAATAGCTACCTGGATCTGAAACAGGAATTTTAATGTTCTATATTTATACTCGTATTACCGATATGAGTACCTAATATATATTATGTATGTATGGTTAATTTAATCTGGAATATAGTGTAATGGTAACAATATTAATAAAATTAAACTTATAAACATAAACTAATAATAATAAAATAATATACATTGAAATAAATAACGAAACTTAACATAAACTAAAATATATCATTAAAAGGAGTCCCTTTAGGCAAGGTTCCGAAGACACTGGCAGCGTTCCCCCTTTGAATTGCTAGACTAATTCTTTGTCCGAGGTAGCTGCCAGATCTTCGGTCTCCTGTGATGTCGACTAACCTTTTTGAAATTTCTTTAAAAAGTTTTAAAGCGCTAGGACCCCACGGACCAAGGGTCTCGACACCGAATGGGACAAAATCATATTCAGAGCCCAGACCCCTGTATTTGCCTGCTTTATTTTTTTCAGCCGCTTCACAAGCCGCACCAGCTCTGTAGTTGGTTCCATGTAGATGGGAAGGGGCCAGCGTGTCTGAACAGGTTGCATCCCATACCAGTACCCGACCCATCTTCCATGGAATCAAACTCATACCGTCCGGTCTCATACCATCGTCTCTTGCAATACCACTTGGCTCAAGAAGACTTGGCACGTTGACGGTGGCAAGGGAACGGCGTATGATATCGTTAAGTGCGGCATGTCTCGAGAAGCGGCCTGCACTTTTTTGGCATGACAGGCCGTGATGTCCTAACTTGTCGACATCACTGCCACAGGGACATATATGAGGAGCGCAGACCGGAACCCCAAGCCGTAGACAGGTTGCGATTCGAAGCGTGTCAGGCTCAAGAAAAGTTCCTGTATTTGACGATGGGTAAGCGTGAAGCCAGTAGCCGGCCTCATGCGTGCCCACGGCCAAAAGCCTAGCACGCGCCGAACCCGTACTACGACTCAAAAGATCGTCAAAAGTCAACTTGCAGTGTATGTCATCCCAGCTCCTCTGTGAATTTAGAGATAATGGAAAATTTTGACCTGGGCATGCAATCAAGAAAGCGTTTCTAGCTTCTTCCAAGCCAGCAATCTCAAAGTTTGAAGGGGATGCCCTTAAAATTTTACTTATGAGATTTGCTGAACTATGGACAGAAGATAGAAAGGCTGGTAAAGCGACACTGGAAATTTTGCGAATCCCTAAACCACCATAACGGATGGGTAGGGAAGCTTGGGTCCAAGATTTCTCGTTCATGTATGTATTATCAAGTATTTGCTTCTATAAGGAAATTCATTAAATGTAAAAAAAAAATTGTTAGTCGTTTTAATTCCCTTTCGAAATTTTTTATAATAATAATTAAGATATTTAACATTTGTTTATTCAAACAGTAAATTAAAGATATATAAAAATTCCGTTAAATAAATTTCACCAACTCCAGTAAATCATGTAACAATAAAAACTATGTAACAAATTTTCTTATTTCTATTGATTGTTAACATCAAAGAGTCATTTATTAAATTTATTTATTTACGAGGTATGAAGACGATAGATAATTTTTTTGAAGTGGGGAAATATACATAATTATAAAGTTTATTTACGAACGAGCTTCTCTTTAACAATGAGCATACTCCTCCGTCAAGGGCCGGCAACCACCGACGGAAATAGGTGTCCATGGGCACGGATTACTGCCCATGCAGGAAGCCCGTCGTCTATGAAAAAAAATTGTGGCACTCGGAGACTGCCGCGGTAAAGCTATTGCATAGCATTTTTTATCGACTTATGCAATTATAATTATTTATTTATGCAGTATTTTTTTCTTTGATATCGATTCAATCTACCATTCTACCAGACTCAGATTAACACGCCTATATAGTATTTCTCACTCTAACGCGTACCGGCTGCACCGGCCGCGCTTACGCTACGTCACTGATCTCGTCAGAGAGATGTGAATACGAAGTATGCGTTCTGTCCCACTCTAAAGCACCTGCGCTACGTCACCGATCACGCCAGACCGATGTAAGACGCAGTATATTACGTCATCGTGTGTTAGGTTTTTATTTTCGTTACGGAATTTCTTGATTCGGTCGCCGCGCTCAAAGCTATAAAATCTATGCAATAGCTTAAAAACCTTGTATTGGACAAACTATCTCCTGCTCTATATTTAGTGCAGGGTGTCGTCAAATCGATGGCACGGTCCCTCCATGGGAACCATAAAACTTTATAGCATTCGACATCTGTGCTCAAATATAGCGACAACTTTTAACTCGAACGCGATTTATTGAAAGTTGTCAGGAGATGAATTATTGCAGCAATTGAATGGCTATATGTCTAAACTCATGTGTGAATCATATCTAAAATAAATCAGTGTCGCTACAACCTTTTTACCTTTTTTGTCTTCTGGGCCTGGGAAATCTGAGGTCCAGAAGACCATTGACCAGAAGACCATTTGTCAATCTCATAGGAAGGTAGGTGATCAGCCTCCTGTGCCTGACACACACTCGACTTTTTGTGTCCTAGTCAAGCCGGTTTCCTTTACCGTTCGAGCGAATGTTAAATGCGCACATAGAAAGTCGGTGCACAGCCGGGGATCGAACCTCAGGGATGAGATTCGCACGCTGAACGCCAACACTGCTCAATACGAATAACAACCGCAACCAAATAAATTCAAACTACGACATGTGATTTAATTGAATTAATTACTTTTATTTTAATAGTTTGTTTAGAGATATTAATCCCAGCTTTGGGGTAGCCCATGTTTAACTGAAAAAGCTCACGATAAGCTCGACTGCGCATTGTGTGTTTAATCGAGGCGTAGATCATTAACGAAGGATTCTAGAGAACTCTTGCACTAACGGGATGAGAGAGAGAAGCCACTACACAAGTGAATCATATCTATCGGTTTAAATAAATATAAAACTCGGAACTATAGATTTAAAGAGAACACAGATTAGGAATGTTTTAAGAATTTAGTCCTACATAATCTTCTTGAACATTAAGCAGAAATTATTAGCCTAAACCTTTAATAAGAGACAGGTCTTGCCTAGTAGAAAATAACTACGTAGGAGTTCTAGTTTTTTTTCCACACGAAGCCTTTGTTTTACCAGGAATCGAATTTAAAATAAATCTTAAATCTTTTTATAGATCCAATGGGTCTTATAATTTCTCGGATGCCTCGGAAACGTCAGAAGCGTAGCTTTATAGACCGGTTACTGGAGTTAGGCATCATACAAGACAAGAAGGAGTGCCGCAAGAAGAGACAGAAGAAAGGGGATTCTAGTGGTAAGAGATTTATTATGTATAGGAAAAAACTACAATAATTTGCAGGTATACATTGTAGTATGTGGTGTAAAACTTTATAAAGTATTTATCTTCGTTGCATACAATATTAAAAAAGACAAGAGATAGCGGCCTTATCGCCTACAAGGGAAATCTTCCAAAATCATAAGCATGCAACAAGTATAGACTAAACTACAAATATAGACATTATAAAAACCTCATAAGTCACGAAAATTTGTGTTAAAAAATTACTAATTTTATTTACTTAGCGAATAATACGTGAAAAAATTAAAAATAAGAGTTTTGCTTTATACAGTATTATATTATTTTTTAATATATTATTATTCGTATCTAGATAGTTCATCGGATTCAGATGAATCTAGAAGTTCGTCTCCCGTTCGAATTCAAGCAAAAAAGAAAACTCACGAGCCAAGAAAGAAAAACCAAAATAAAAGCAAACATGTGGAAATCAGTGCGAATGAGATAGCGAGATTATTGGTATCGGCAGTGGAAGCGGGTAAGAAATATATATGGAAATTAAAAAGTTTTATAGCCCCATTAAAAGTAACTTAGTACTGGATACCGAACTTATCCGACAAATGTTTCCTGATGGTAGACATAGAAGGCTACTACGCATTTAAAAATATCATATACACGAGCGCAGTGGTCTATCTATCCTATTAAAGTCCAGTTAAAATATATTTATTCATGTATTACTGTACAAAAATGCCCCTTTATATTTACTGCCAGTTCTCAAATAAAATTGGACGAAAATGGTACGCCTTGCTCTACACAAGTAACATAACTATTCTGGACTCAAATAATATTTTTCAAAATGAAAGAACTCTACTGAATTCTTCACATGCTATCTCGCTGCTTAAACTGTCGTGTTCCAGTCTTGATAGATGTCCAGACATTACACATTTTGACTGCTCGTTCTCGAATTGAATTTTTTGAGGTTTTTGTATCATACTCTCGAATTAGGAAAATAATTGAATTACCCTTGAAATAAATGTATAGCCTATACATTTGATTTACATAACTCAAAGTTCCAAGTGCTTTTAAGCAATTTCACCTAGAGACTGCCACATTAATTTGACGACTAATTAATATTATCAATTAGTAATTATTTATCATTAAATATTAACGAAGTTTTCAACGTTCGGATACCCGGTACATATATTATTTATTATGTCTTTTGATGTTAAAATCTAGATTCATTATGATAATATAAATCTTGTTTAAAATCTTCTTAAATGGCTTTTATAACAATTATCTGTAATTTCATTTTGGTATCCAAGCTTGAAGCGCTTTGAAATCTGTGATTGCTTTAAATTTCCATTTTAATCTTTACAAAACTACACCCACTCATACTTATCAAGTCTATGGTCGTATATTCTCAATTAAGCTTCTTGTCTTGAGAACCAATAATTTGCTAACCCATTATTCATAAATATCCTTTTCACTTATATTTTAACGTAAAAATCGAATTTAAAAATACACAAAGTTCGATTTAGTGCAATTTTACAGTTTTTTCATTGAAATAAATGTCCTGACGTTTCGCGCAATCGTGTTACATTACAAATAACATAAATTATAAGGGATGCAACAATCAAGTCATAAATATTGAATAAACTGTGTTAAATTAACCATGTGTTATATTTGATTTATATTTTCTGTAATAAAAAATATCCAGTTGCCTCACTTCTGGCCTTCTTCTGTATCCAGCATGCCGGTTTCCTCACTATGTTTTTCTTTACCGTATAAGTGTTAATTGTGCTCTTGAAAAAAGTTTGTCAGGGTTAAGAGGCTCAAGTCAAGAGATCAAGCTCTCGATTTTCTTTAATATTGTAACAAATATTTTAATATATTTAATATTTAGGGCATACCGAATCACTAAACTGGTTAGCGGAAAATTTGGAAGAGGTAGCGTTAGATCAGGAAGCGGAAGGATTCAATCCAGGTGATGAGGGTACTCCCCTAGTACCAATTTTCACTGGTTCAGCTGAGGCAATGGAAGAAAACCTTTTCCAGACTGTTCTCAAAGCCATTGGTGTTGTTCCACCAAATGATCAGGTAAGGTTAATGTGTGGTTCTTTTTTAAAAGGTAGTATAGCAGGAAACATATATTCATTATATACATATTACAGAGACCTATGCCCTCCACGCTCTAGGTGAACTTTTTTAAATTCTCCGATACCATAAAATATTTCGGAATATAAATTACACATACTTGTATTGTAATAAATAAATAAATAAAATAAATAATTTGTAATAACTGTTCTCCAAACAGGAGTCGTATTGGCGAATTCCAAGCAGTCTCCATTACGAGACGATAAGAAAGAGGCGTGACACAATTCTCAAAGCCGTAAACAAAGAATTAATTGTTGAAAAGCCCAACGACTCGAGCGATGATGACGATCTATTTAATAATTTACGGAAAATTACTAACAATGAACAACCCGTTAAAGAACATATTAATAATGCTATCATTAATGAAAATAATGATACTAACATTAATGAAGATAATGATACTAACATTAATGAAGATAATGATAGTGATAGTAGTGATATCGGTATATCTAAAAGTAGTAAGAGTCGCAAAAGAACTCGAAGTGTGGAATCAGAGGGAAATTCAAGGAAATTGCAAAAAATCGACGAAGATGATGATGATATATTATCGTTTGCAAAGAAAACATTGAATCATGAAAATCTACCGGACACAGAGGATATTTTAAGCGCATTACCGTCACGTGCAAGTGGTATGTCTATTTTAAAAGATTTTCTATGTTTTTCAAATATATTGAAATTTAGATCTTTGTATTGTTTGGTGATTGTTGTTTTCAGTGTTCAAATTGCTTATATTCGAAATAATAATAATAGACCTTTATCCCCAACTAATTTACATACAATATACAAAAAAAAGAATTTTATTATTATAAGATACGGCCCCGTCCGGGCAGGCCCCTTGAAACTTTTTCCACTCTATTTAATAGTTCAGCGTCAGCATCCTATTCTTGCCAGCTACAATTTTTATCTCGTTGCGACATCTCTTTTGGTCTGCCCTTATTTCTCTTTTCTTCTAGGCCAATCCATTCGATTACTGTTCTTGACTATCTTCCTTCCTGACCTGCACATTTGAGTTATAGGGCATGTTGCTCAACGGCTTAGTTTAATTCCATGAATATTTTTTCTCTTTTATATTCCCTGAAACGAACGTATTTTGACTTTCGCTTTGTTTCAAATACTACTCTGAATATTCGAAATACTAAAGCTAAATGAATCCTAAAAAAATGTTGGCGGGTTATATAGTCAAAGTTTTTTTTATGAATTGACTTTTGAAAATCTTACACCTTACAATCTAACCTAATTATAAACTTAAGTAATTTAGCCTTTACTTACAATTTTTTTAGCATAATAACACTACTTACTTTTACTTACCGTCGATTCAAAATTCAAGTCAAAATTTAGTCATGATGACTTATTTTCTGAGACGGTATTTTGATTTTCCTAATTTTTGTTTCGTGGTCCGAAGGTACCACTAGCTGTTTTTAAATACGCAGTAGGTTAATATGATGACGTTAAAGACGCATCCGTATATTATTTTCCAAAATAAAATTGTTGAAAAACACCTTTTCAGATAGCAGTGATGATGAAGATATGCTTAACGTGTCGAGGAAAAAGAAAACTAGGAAAATTATTAGTGATGACGAATCAGATTAAATAACAATTATTAACTATACAATCTTTTATTTACTTGTAATTTGAGTATTAATTATTATATGTCGGAAAAATCGTCACTCCATCGAAATTGACATCGTCCTTATCGCGTTTAGTGGGCGTCATGTGAGTAAAGTGCGAGCACAAAAGACAAATAATTATCGTACAATATTTAATTAAGATTGATTCCTTCTTATAACGAGAAGCGGCTACAAATCACCGATCTCAGTTTTAATTACTATCTGCCGGTCCAACGTCTCATCACCACAATGCTCCACTGAAAACTCAATCAGTCCAGTCTTATGTTCACTGAGCGCAATGTCCAAAGTCAAGATGGCCCTCGACTCCGTGGCAAATGTTACCTAACAATATTCATACTTTTACTCGTTAAGTAACGAATCCAAACTATGAAACAAATCGAATCAAAATAAATTATTTAAAAGTATTAGAAGGAATCTCATGATGACTCAAAGCAACAATAAAAATCTTGATAATGCGAGCATTCCCTGACATATATATTGGCTGTGCATTTAATATTAATAATAATAAGTCACAACCTAGTTCTGTCATGAATAAAGTTTTCATTAATATTTATTATTATACATAATAAATAATTTTATTCTCGTCATTTACATTTAGTTTTATTTTAAAGAAAATGATCGCGAGGAAACTAGATACTGACACTAGACACTGAAAATTGATCAAAAAGCGTTCCGTAAAGTATTGTCACAAGCAATTGTGTTGAAAATTTTATGAAAAGCTCGCTTTATATTTTGTCTATAGAAGTTTCATAAAACCGAATGATTCGTAGCACCAATACATAGATGAAAAGAAAATAGCTCGGAATATTGGAATTCTCCGCTTTAATATGGCGCTCTCTAAATTACGCTGTCATAGGTTGAGAAAAGTTAAAACGCATACTTTGCTAGATCGAATATGAATCGTTTTTCAACAAAGATAAGTGGAAATATATTATTTATAATTTTACGTATTTTGTTCACTAAAAAAACTCTTCAAGTATGTTAGTTTAGTTTTTAACTGCACTTGTTCACGCATTTTGTAATTTTAACTGACTTCAAAGGCTGTCAGTCACCTCTATGACATTAAAATTGAATGTTATTTAGTACTATGTTTATTTAAACTAACTTTCGCTTGTCAACAAATATCTTGGAAACTAACATATCACAATGATCTAAGGTATATTATACCGTAGGAAATAGTTTAGCATCAAAATCAATTCAATTGTTTACAATATATTCACGCATTTCTGCAGAGAACAGAACTATTGTATTGTTAATTACCTGCTTTTCATTTGACAGTGATTACAAGTCGATTTAATTTTTTGAAGTGAAACTTCTTTAGGCGCTTGAGGGTATAATTTTTACGGAACGTCACGAAGATGTGCAGCGTTTTTGTCGAAGAAAAGGGAAAGAACGATTGTAACCGATTGAGAGAGAGTGAGAAGGGCGAATTACCTTATAGATTCTTAGAATTCTTTTTTTTAAATTAAAATATCGTAAAGAGGATTTATGAAATATTAGTATTTTATATTTTTTCCAAAATAATGTACCTATTGAAATCTCAAATAACGAAACGAAACTAAATGTTTTAATGACAATTAAATTCATTAAATTCCTAACATATCATATTACATATTAGGTTTTTAAAATCAAGGTGCTTTTATAGCGTGACCGAATATTTAGAACATAAGTTTAACAATTACTCATAAATGACTTGACTTCTTATTATGACATTTGCATGCCTGTTTATGTATGGCTGATTGTGCGGACTTTTCTTGTTGTTCGATTTTTTATTTTGTACCACTATCATGGCAAATAAAGGATTAATTTATTTATTTTATTTATCTTCCTTTTTCCCTCCCTCCAAGCCACGGAAATCTAAAGTTTTAGATTTGTATATTTGTAACAAAATTAAAAAATTCGTTTGCCAAAGAATGTTAAACTTTTTATTATTACTTATACCAGTTATTAACATCTACGAAGTTCCGACTTCAATTTAATTGATTGCTTTTGTGCTCGTATTTCCCCTCTATAGAAAAACCATGTATAAGATCCCCTAAACTTTATTACATAGTAAGCAGCCTATCTCGTGTAAATCGCCCCTCCGAATCGCAATGTAAGTTATGTTTTTATAACATTATCTAAAATGTAAACATGCTCCACTGAAATAACACCCAATTTACATACTTTTGTGTAGGCCCTTATAAATTAACAATGAAAACAAAGTTTAGACGTGTAATAAATAAATTAATAGTAATATAATCCAGATGTATATTATAAGCCCTTAAGCGATTTTCTATTAACACTTATTCAATGGATTCAATACAATAAGGGTAATAAAAAACCATATCTAGATTAGCTGGTAACGCAGATGGCTGAAGGTCCTAGGTTCGATCCTGGTGAACATGAAACACAGTATGTCGGAAGGAAGGCAGTAAAAAATGTGAAATGTTATTTATTTCCGTGATTTTATCATGTTATTATTATAATAGCGAGATGACATATTTTAAATATATTAATTTAAGGTTTCTTGAGCAGATTAGGCCTGGTTTCTTCGCGTGACTCTCATCCCTGGGGTCGTAGGTTCGCAACGGGTTGCACCTCTGCACCAATTGACTATTTGTCTATGTGCGCATTTAACACTCGCTCGTACGGTGTAAAGAAAACATCGCGAGGAAACCGGCTTGCCTTAGGCCCAAAAAGTTCACGGTGTGTATCAGGCACCTACTTGCCTATTAGATATGATCACGGTACAGATACAGAAATCAGATGCCCAGATCTTAAAGGTCGCAGCGCAATTGGTTGATATAATTTAAGATTTTATCCTTAAGGATAATGCCACCCTCCTAAGATTGTTGTTTTCAGTACACAATTTCAATTAAATTGGAATATACATACAAAAGTACTTCCACATAACAATACTTAATTATTAGACTTACTTGACCTGAAAAAGAGAATGCCTATACCGCTCTACATCTGTACAAAAACTAAATAAGGACCGAAAATTATTATCTAATATTCCTTAGACATCTATTTAAAGAAAATAATTATTATTTACGCCTTACTTTTAACTAAAAATATTGTTAAACTTTAGATTTAATAATCTTTATCATTCATTCGTAATCTCCTATAATCAAGGTCATTCCATTGTCAAACCTAACGGGCGGTTCTATTGATTATTGAAGGCTATATAACCTCAAGATTTATATCGACTGTGTTCATTGTGTTCATGGTTTATTGAAATAGTATTTATTTAAACAGGTTTGATGGATAGAAAGTCCGACTCCAAGTTACGTAATAAAATCCCGGGTTTGCATAAAAACATAAGAGGGCTTTTCGAAATACATAATTTTAAGTTTACAATATTTTTACTCGGCCGATCCTCACATTTCATGATTAGTCTGTTGAGATTTACTCGGGTTTCGTTAGATGCATTTTTCTATATACTTTTTGTTAATTATAGTTGATAATAGTTACGTCCACTATTTAGAATTTTATAATGAATGTTTGTGCGTGTTTAAGAACTATTGTGAGGCAAGGTATCAATCAGCATCAGTCTAACCTCTGTTCCCAAACGAATACAATTTCTCCAATCCTTTCGGCTGACAAGGACCTTCCTGGTAAGGACACATTATAACGAGGTACTACTCATATTATTTTAGTATGAATTGTGTATCGACGGGCACGGAACCGTTCTTTGTGGTACAAGGTCACTAGGTTTAGGTTTATGTAACTAAAACGTAATGTTATGTTTACGTAACTTAGTTAAACGCTGGTTTCCAGCCATCAAGATGATGGCGCGAGCTAATTAACATCCTGGTGGTGGTTTTCCCTGGGAGATACGACCTCCAACTGCTTAAAAATCATACTCCGCCCTTAAAGGACGGACACCCACTAAAATGGGTGCCCATGGGACTTCTTTTTTAGTCCCGTAGGCTAGTTTGTCGGTTACTTTTATTAAAATACAGTAAACTTTTAAAGTTATAGTAGCAAGCAATAAAACCTTAATTCACTGATTTAACACATTTCCTTTCATCCTAAACAACTTTATCATTCTCCCTCGAGATCCTTATTCAAATGTTAAATTATTTTAACGATTCATCAATCTTGGCTCAGTCTGAACGTGAGATTAAAGACCCTCTTGCTATCTACCCAAATAAAAACGTTTTAAGTGTTAAATTAACGATATCTCTGGGAAAAGTTCATAGTCCGTAAGTGGGGCCTAAGTTATGGGGCCCTTATATTGATGCCGAAATTGCTTTTAAATTTAATTTTTTAAAGAATAGGGGAAAGCATCAGCAATATTGAGATAAAATTGTATTTCAATTAAGTTAAAATGTCTAAATATTACTTTGCTTTTGCTATATATAAATATATATATATATATCTTGTATACGCGTGATGATGATGCTATCATACAAAGTAGCATATCTTAGTTAGGGACCTCAACGGCATGTTACACTCAAAAGCCTCCGGTGCAGTACACACTACATAGAAGGTAGGAGATGGGCATATCTTGTCCTATTCACTCCGCGTCTTCTAACCCTAGGATTCATCATAAAGCCCTCCCCCTCTGTACTCTGTAGCATTACTTGCTCACTGCCGACCATTTTTTGGACAACACAAGGCAGAGCAAGGTACCCATCATAGAACAAAGATTATGACGTAGCTGGGACCACCGATGACACTTCTTCAACGATTCGCCTTCGAGCACCAGCAGAACTTGCATTTTCTTCAGAGCGTTATGTAGGCCCAACATTGAAGAGTGTCAGAATGTTGTAGGCATATCTATATACCCAAACCCCATTGGAGATTATGGATATGTACTAAAATTTGGCCTACTTTCATTTAATAAGCTGTAATCTGGATTTAATAATATCTCGAAATTTCTTTATAAAGTAATTATGCACGAATACGAAAAGTATACTAATAATAATACGACCTAAATAAATAGGCATTGTTTACGTAAGTTAATTTTAAATG